GGAAAGAGGGAGGCAGGGAGGGAAGAGAGAGAGAAACAAGCTAAATCCCGAATTCCAAGGGTCTTAATGGATTTCGAAACTGGTTGCCAGGAGACGTGAAGGAACCAAGGTTTACTATTACTGCTCGCTATGCCCCGTGTCTGGGGAACACTGGCCAACGGCGATATGATTCCGCACACTGTGTAACGTGGGCTTAGTCGGAAAGGATGGGGTTTCAGTGGCACCGGGTGTGAACGCCTCTCCCCTAACAGGCGCTGCCCGTTCGCGCCAAGGGTCACGGGCAGGGTAGTCAGTGCATTTATGTTAGAACGAGTATCGCAGGCTCTCAGTGGCCTTTGGATCAGAGCTCTCAACTTCCAGTTTGTCATTCAAGAGCACTGACAAACCGTGTAAGGGAGAGCCCCCAAACTAGGCAGCAGTACCAGAAAAGCCAATGTTACCTCTCTTGGTAATGCTCAAAGCACCCCTTACATTTTTCCATTGAGCAGAAATTTTTCCATTGAGCAGGATTTTTTTATTGAGGTATAGTTGACATATGACATTATGTTAGTCTCAGGGGTATAACACAATATATGATATTTGTATATATTGTGAAATGATCACCACTGCCATATGATATCTGTATATATTGTGGAATGATCACCACTGCAAGTCTAGTTGACATTTGTCACCATAGAATTACAAAAACTTTTTTTCTTGTGATGAGAACTTTAAGATCTGCTCTTAGCCACTTTCAGATATGCAATACTGTATTATTAGCTATAGTCACCATGCTGTACATTACATCCCGATGACATCATTTTATAGAACTTAGGATTTTTGAAGAAAGTTTTTCAAATGAAAATAGCCACAAGATTATAGGAAGACCTGCCAAGTAATATATGTATATGGATTTAACATTACCAGTTTATTCACTTTCCATCAAATTAGATTTTCCCAGGCAACTGAAAGTGTGCCTATCATGAATATCACGAAGTTCTCCAATCTTAGGGCTGGAAAAATTTTAGAAGTCACCTAGCCTGAGACCCTTCACTCTGTACATGAAGAATCTAGGCCAAAGAATATAAATGGCATACTTAAATACCTCTTCATCCCCAGAGAATATTTTTAAATGGGATTGGATTAGAAATAAATACTTATTATACCATGTAAAAGAGTGTTGGGAACAAAGTTAAATTTCATTAAGGAGTAACATGCTTTATATCAAACTTTGATTTTATATGAAGCTGTTTTGAAAATATGCAGCATAGTAACACAATTACTAATAGATTATAGTATAACTTTTGCAGCATCATAATCACAAAGATGAATCAAATTAAGAAGGTAGGAAAAAAGAAAAAATAGAAATAACTCATCCCTTGGACTCAATTTTTCAATATTGTTCCCTTCAATTCTGTAAAACTTGAAATGGGGAAAAAAAAGAGGCACTTTTTTTAACATTCAAAAGATTGCTAACCTTTTCACCGAGTGCATTCTTTCTGACTACAATTACTGAATGAAAACAAAAGGAAGTTACAGGGAAATGCTGCAAAATAAAATAAAATTAGCCGAATAAAAAGCAATGTTAGCCCTAAATGTGATATTACAGAAAACATCAATAATAGACCTTTTTATAGGATTTAGAACTCTCATCAATATCCACAAATCATATTTTTTAACTTTGTTACTAAAATCAAGTGGCAAGTTTTCTATAAAGTATTCAGCTGTTTGCTTTCCATCTGTGAAGTGAAATCATGTCTCTATGGCATTCCTTTGCCACCAGGGAAGATGACATTCTATAGGGAACCTCAACCTGTGATTCTTTGAAATGTGTTAGAAATGCTATATCAGAAGGAAGTTTTCTCCACCAACTGTCACAGTCTGTGTGATCTCCCTCAGAATCCAGGCAGCAATCTCTAAAGTGCCTTTCAAAGAGTATCTCCTCTCCCTTGTTAAGCCAGCCCTTAAGTCATATTGAAGAATAACCCTATGAAGCCTGTAGCCCACAAAGAAAGTGTCCTCTGGGGACAGAATTGTTGAAAACACACTTCCCCCTAGAGGCAGAAAAGATGAAAGAATATTACACATAATTCAAGAACATTTCTGTAATTCAATAAGTGTTGAGATTTTGTTTTTAACATATAGTTGATCTTTTAGAGGGAACCATCCATTCAAGACACGGGAGGAAAATCAATAAAGGGCAAAAAATTAAACTGAAACCTTGCCTCTAGGTTTTAGCTTTCCTTAGCAGGGACTCTGTTAATTGATCTCTTTTCTTCTTTTATACAAATCTACAATTTTTTGCCAGCACTGTAAGTAAAAGCAATTAGATATTTTTTCTATTTAAACTTATGATTTAATTTCATGCAGTTAAATGTGGCCTCGAGGGCTTCTTTTGAAAATGTAGCTCTAGCAGATTTATCTCCTTATGATCAGATTTGTTTCTGTATTACTGTCCTCCTAGGTTTCCATCAACCGCAATCTCTCTTCATTACTTTGGAGATGTCCTGAGATAAAATGACATTAGAAACACTTCCGAAAAATGTAGAACTCATCTGTGATTTAACCTGAGTCGCTGGCATGAGGTTTTCTAGGATTTGCAAGCTACATCAAGGATTCTC